TATCCTTTGGTAACTGACAGCCAGCTCTCCAAGAGAAGTATGCATACATGTTCACAGGAGTTTATTATAAATTTTACTGATAAATACATAAATGATATGTGGTTAATTTACAAGTGATAAAATATATTATTGTATTAACTGTATAATAAATTAATTCTCATAGAATGCTTTCATTGATTTTTGCTGAACTCTTGTATCCTTGGGCAACATGTGGTTGCAGTTCAACCACGATTTGATTAATTAGATTCTTTAGATGATGAATTATTATTATTTAGATTATTTAGATGATACATCAATGCTTGATTACTATCTGATTTAGACAGGAAGTCTTGGGCTGGTAGTGTGGTTCAGTGGCAGAGGGTTCATCTAGCATGCAGGAGGATCTAGGTTCAATCCCCAGCGCTGGGGGGAAAATGTGTGTCTCATTGACAAGTGAGTGTAGTTCTAACGTACATAGTAGTTGATAATCCCATTTAGGTCAATAAGAGATAAAAAAGGAAGACATTTTGAAACTTTAAACTGTTGCTAATGACTTCTCTGCTGACCTGTATATTGTTTTAGTACTGAAATATTTTCTCAATTTTTTATGTGTTTAAGCTTATTTGGATTTAAATTTTTATCTATCACTCAAGTCTAGACAATTAATAAAACATTCATCAAAGCCCTGATTTGTAGCATTTGTTGATTTCCATGATGTAACTATTTCCACCATGGTTGACTTCAAGCTACCAAGGTGACACTAAAATAGAGTTGGAAAGAGGTGTGTGATATTACACCATCCTGTAGTATAACAACACTGTTGTTCAGATAGGATGGCAATAGTTATATCACGACTATAGCCAATAGTAAAATACAGTAAATTAAGAATGAAGTGATGACTTTTGAGCATATTACCTTTTAATATAGTATATTTAGCTTTAAGTTTACATAATTTTTAACAGCAGTTGCTTAATAACTAGTTCACAGAGTTGCTGAAATTTAAGTCAGCGCTTGCCAGTTAAGATGGTTCCAGCCAGGCTACTGCACAGTCTTATCCCACCAGCCCAAACCACAACTCCCTCCTTAGTTCCCTTCCTTCTTTCTTTCCCTCCCTGCCTCCTTTTTTCCTTCCTTCCTTTGTCTCTCTTTCCATATCTCCCTCTTCTCCCACCTCCCTTCCCTCCTATTCTCTCCTCTCCTCAAGATAGGATCCTGTTATATAGTTTAGGCTGGTCTTGAACTTGTATCCTGTTGTCTCTGCCTCCTGAGAGCTGGGATTACAGGCAAGCAACACCACACCCAGCTCCAAACCAACAGTCTTAGCCACTCCTTAATATAGTTCCATACCACAGGAATATGGTATACAGTGTGGCAACACATTGCATGGAAGAGAATATGTTTGTCTGTATTGTCTAGAGTACATCGATTCTTATTAGGTGCATCACTTACCATGTTTGTCAAGAAATCCAGTTTGAGGAGTTGCGCTCAACCCCAAGCTGTATACACATACCAGTGCTATGCTATTTAGGAAAATGGGTGGATTCTGGTTTCTGAGTGACTACTTCTCCCATTCACCTGGTCCAGTCAACTTGGAAGGCAAGGCCCTCTTCATAGTGTTAGACCAGAGTCTGGGTGGTATTACTGGTGGTAGACCAGTACTAAGCACCCTGTCTGAGGCTCTGCTAGTTCAAACCAAGCCTACCAAGAGTGGGTCACTTCCTGTTCAGCCCACAGAGCAGCCGCCTCTCCTCTGCCTCATGTGTCTGTGCCTCAACACTGGGAACCTTTGTCTAGGATCATGTTCATGGGAGGGAAAGAGAAGGCTTTTGTGCTTTCCTAGTGAGATTATTCAAAAAGAAAATTCTAACAGCCTAGGCAACACTAAAATGGGGTTTCACAGAATAAGATTAGAATCATGAATGTTTTTAATACACTGCACTTGGAACAGGTGCTCAAATACAATTTTTTTATTTTTTGCCTAGGGGATCAAGAAGGATGAGTGTTGATTAGTGGGCTTTGTCGAGCCTCAGAAGGTTGCCATTAATGATGCCATTAATGCTCATCTTCTCCAATATTCAACATATTTGGAAAATTTCCAGATCTTATCCAGCATCAGGAAGATATGTCTTTGCCCTCCTGACATGTTACAGAAACAAATCAATTTCTTCTCCCCAATAGGCTGATGAAAGTCCTGCTCTGCAGTGCTTTCTATTGCTATGGTAACAGGAGATGGGCTTTCCCAGTGGAACTTGATTTATATATGCAGAGAAAAACATTCTTTCAGAGGTCAGTCCCTTTCTTGTTGCCAGGTTTATAACACAACACATGCAATAAACTGAGTGCCAAAGAAGAGCAGAGTGACACCAACTGTTGCCTCATTTTATTGAGACCTTTGATGAAAGAGACTCAATTTAGGAAGTTTCAATATTGTGTCATTGCTATTGTAGCTATAATAGTTTGCAAAATTGATGAAGTACAGTTTTTTTATTTTTGTTTTTAGAAAAGCAAAGAGTTGGATTTCTGGACTCTCAACTTCCAGGCAGACTTGAACTCTTAGTACTTCCAGTTACCGAGTGAGCTACAACACTGCTGTGGTAGATGAGATGATAAGAAAGCCAAGGCAGAGGGAAGAGTTCGTGAAATGATAGTGGAACTCTCCCCTTGTATACAGCACAGTAGTTGGCCGTGTCTCATGGAATCCTATCACATACCCAGGCATTTAGAGAAAACGTCCCCTCAGCTAGATACAGAGATCTATGCTTTAATCTGCTGGTTTGTTTAAAGGCATTATTAAAAAATGGCTCAGTAGGGTCAGGGCATTCTAGAAGGAGCAAAGAGCAAGTATATGGAACAGGATGGGTTAGGTATTTCAGGAGTAAATATAGTAAATATGTTTGTCATTTAAGTGTTTCTGGATAGAAATTCTGAAGATGTTTTGGGATTAGACAAAAGTAGATCCTGCTCAAAAGGACTTTGCATGAAATTCTTGAATTCATGATGTGCAGAGATGGGAGGAAAGAAATAGATACTTTGACATTAGCTTAAAACTTAAGTCAACAAAGCCTTCTGAAACTGCACCATTACTGACACTTTATATTATACTGTTGCAGATCTAGTGACTTAAGTTCATAGTTTTTTTTTTTTAAGAAGTTTGACAAGTGCTGTTGAATTGATAAATGTAAGATAAAAGTAAATATCACTGGGCTATACTCTGGATAATACAAGAAGGCTACCAGGTGAAAGGACCGATTTTGGGGAAGCTGGAGGAAAGGTAAATGAATGTAAATTGAATAAATTTAGTGCCAGTTGCATAAGTGATTGATGAAACTCTGTCAGGCACTGTACTAGATACTTTGTATTCATTATATTTTTAGTCTTGTATATGAAGAAACCAAAGCCAAAGAGCTAAAGTGGTTGTCCAAAAAATTGGGGATAATAAAGGGAAGCCACTAGGCAAATCCAGGAGCCTGATTCCAAAGCATGAGTTCTTAATGTCATGCTAAAAATTAAAAAGGAAAAGAAGCTTAGTTTTGCTTTTTGTGCACACAGATCCTGAAAAGTAAAATTGGGAAGCATTTTACTTCTGTTTATTAGGTAAATAGTGATCTGCTAGTTTTCTGCATGGGTTACAGGATTTGGGGTTTTTGTTTTTTAAACGCTCAACACCTATTTTTCAAATGGCCCAACTTCTTTATAGAATATATTCTTCCCATAATGATTTCTCATCTAAGAATAATGCCACTAACCTCTCTCCCTTTTGACTGCTGCAGGTTCCTTGAAATACTATTTGGTATTTGACAGTTTTATTTTGATTGGACTGCAGAGGGAAATGGCTACACAAACCACAAGCATAGTAATTTGTAGTTCTCTTAGTGTCACAGTGGCTTATGTAAAATAGATATTTTTTCATTTAAAATGCATAATCTGTGACAACAGACAGAAGTAGTACTTGACCTTGGGGCCCATCTATGCTTTGAAATCCTAATGAGGATAGTATCTAGGGCTTCTGCCAGCAGATTTCATTAATTTACCAGTGAATTTTCTCCTAGCAACAGCATTTTCTTTCAAGCTAATTCAGAAGTTAGCTTGAAAACTCAGTAATATTTTGAAAAAAAAAAGTACACATCATACATAAAGCAAGTCTAGAACCATATAGGAAATTTTGTTTCTTTTTTTAATTTAAATTTTATTGTAAAGGTGATGTACAAAGGGGTTACAGTTACATAAGTCAGGTAATGAGTACATTTCTTTTTGAACAGTGTTACCCCTCCCTCATTTTCTCTCACGTTTTCTCCTCCCAACCCTCTCCCCCCAGCAAGTTGTATAGTTCATTTCTAACATAGTGTCTAATGTCACTGTTGCATTGGTTCACCCTTTGTCCCACTGTTTCTGTGATTCCCCTTCTCTTCCCCAAATCAGATAAACTTATGTACAAGACAAAGGGAACAGAAATAAAAAAAGAACAGTGATATCAGGGAATAAACTAAAGGGACAAAAGAAAGGAAAAAGAAATATCTGCAGTGTGGTCCTCTCCTAAGAATATCCTACACATATAGTTATTACAAATGAAGGAAAACATGCAGCCTATGTTTCTGGGTTACTTCACTTAATATAATTTTTTTCCAAATCTTTCCATTTCCTTACAAATGGGGCAATTGTCATTCTTTCTGATGGGAGCATAGAATTCCATCATGTATATATACCACATTTTCTTGATCTGTTCATCCACTGAAGCAGCATCTGGGTTGATCATATAGGAGATTTTTTAATTGGAGAATTATAATAGTTTCTGACTTTCAGGTGAACCAGGGAGGTAAGATAAGATGAAATTATTGTCAAATTTTGCTAAGACTCTGCCAAAGCTAAATATTTCAGTTTAGAGCATCAGGTAATTAACTTAGACCCGTTAGATCATCTCATTAGATCATTTGAAGTAAGAAACAAATTTGGATAAAAGATAATCCATGTCTCTTAACTTTGTTCAAATAGAAGATGTGAAAAGAAACCATTTTCTCTTTCAGCCTTGCCTTACACCCAGACAAAACTCTGATCGCAACTGGCCAAGTTGGGAAGGAGCCATATATTTGCATATGGGATTCCTATAACGTCCAGACTGTTTCTATTCTTAAAGATGTCCATACACATGGAGTTGCATGCCTGGCTTTCGACTCAGATGGGCAGGTGTGTATCTTTCTCTATTTATGTTTCCTTTAATGATGTCTTAAATTTCACACAAAAATGCAATGAATAACCAATTCTCTTTGGCACCCTCTAGAACCTTGACCCTTTGACCCCTTTCCAAGCTTGTAGAACTGATGACTGCCTTCCAACAGACCTTGTTTGGATACCTCAGTCCCACTATCTGATCAAAAACCTCCATAAAAGAAAGCATGAACTCAAATCCACCAGGGTTCAGCAATTTTACTTTGTCACCCATTATTAGCTTCCTATTGGGAATAAGGGCTGGATCAAGTCATTTTTCCCAGACCTCAAGCCCTCAGCATTATGCTTTCAGAAGGTAATATCACCTCATAATTCACCAAAGAGATTTCTTTTCCCTCCCCTGCCCCTTTTCCCCTCCTTTTCCGTTTCTTCCCCTCCCGTTCTTTCCCCTCCCTTTTCTCTCCTTCCTCCCTCTCCCTCTTCCTCTCTTCCCCTCCTTCCTTTCTCTTTCCTCCCCTCCCCTTTCCCTTCCTCTCTACTCAGTTTATCTCAAGGCCTCAAGCTTGTTAGGGTGATACAATATCAAGCCATACCCCTGGCTCTGTTTTAATGGTTATTTTTCAGATATGATCTCACTTCCTGGGTTTGTGTCTGAGCCACAACTGCCTATTTTAGGCTTCCCATTGTTGCTACGTCCACAGGTGCTCACCACCACATCTATCGTCCCACCTGTGAGGACAGTCTTGAAGACTTTTTCTACCTGGGCTGATCTGGTACCTTAATCCTTGGATCTCAGCCTCCCTCGTAGCTTGGGATATCATGTGCATACCACTGCATCCAATTATGGATTAAGGAGTCTCACAAGCTTTTTTGCCAAGGCTGGCTTCAAACTGATCTTCCCATTCTTAGCCTCCCAAGAAGCTAGGATTATGGGAGTGAACTGGCTAGAGTTTCTTTGACTTCACCTTGAGGTCACTTCTGCTCCTCCTTTGTAGATGGAATTCCTATCATGTCTTACCCCATACCTGTTCCAGCAGTCACCAATTCCTATGTATTTATTTTTCTTTCTAGAACCAGATTTACCATATATGTAGACCCTTGCGATACATGTTCTTCATTTTACTAGTCTGTAATCTTATGTAAGTAAGGCAGAACAATTCCTCTATTTCTTTGTATATCCCTGGCTAAAGAGAAATAGTTGGATCATGGAATTTGTTCAGGCTTGCAGTTATATTGGCTTCCTGATGAAAATGCATGTCTAAGTGCAAAGTGTGATTGTATGTGTACTTATATAAACATTCTGTGATCATCATTTGGGCAAGTATCTTTATCAGACTTTGTTCTGAAGTATCAGAAGCAAATGTAATGCAGTGGAGGAAAGTGTTAACTACTTGTTCTTTATCTGTGTTATTTCTTGTTAGAGTCCTGCCTAGTTCCTCCCATTGAGTTTCCATTTTGAAAGGTAGAGATGGGGATGAACTGTGTTTTTTAACTTGTCACTTGAGAAAAATAACCACATATTTGGCATGGTAGATTTCATAGCTTGTTGGTGCCTATTGTTCAGGCCTGCTGTGTTCCCTGGACAGAGTTGACTGGAATCAAATAATGTTCAGAAAATGACAAATGGCCCATTACCTCATAATAGACAGCATCCATAGAAATGCTTTACCAGGTAGCTATGGGACTTGTCATTACAGATGAACTAAATGAAATAAGATATATTGTATTCATAAACTGCTTTGTTAAATGGCAACTCCTTTCTATACCTATGTAAAGACAATAATAAATAGAAAAAATAAAAGAAAAAAGAAATAAGGGTTTTCATTTTACCCATGACTGTTAATTTATTGTCTAATAAAAAAAGAAATGGAATGGAATTCATCCACTCAGATTTTTTTAATGGAACTGGGTATCAAACATGGAGCATTGTCTCTGTTAGGCAAGTGCTTTGTCAGTGAGCTATACTTCAGCCCCTAGGCTTTTTTTTTTAATGTGGGTAAAAATGCCATGTCTTATAATTACTTTTGTTAATGGAATTTTCAAAGAAAAAATTACAATAAAGGCCTTTCTCATGTGCACATGCTTTATACTAAATCTTGTAGTGAATGCCATCTTACGTGAAGAAACTTGAATACTCCCTGATAACTACACATGAACATTTAGCCATGGCTGGCTCTGTCTTTCCATGAATACCTTAGGAGTGTGCTTATTAGTGCTCACATACACTCTCACTCATGTGAGAGTGAGCATGTACTTTCATGTACTGTTACATGGGGTATTACTATATTTTAAAAACCATTTGATTTGCCTTGTTTCACTTGCATGATACAACAATCCTACAAATAAGAAAAAGTCCAAGCATTTTAATTAATTAAATTAATTAATTAATTTAGTTAGTTATTGCCAATACTGGGGCTTGAACTCTAGTCTTCTCATTCTCACTTGACTTTTTCAATCAAGATTGCTACCTCTACCATTTCAGCCACACCTCCATTTAGATAAGAGTCTCACAAACTTTTTCTATCTGGGCTGGCTTCCCATCACAGTCCTCAGTAGGAGCTAGGGATTATAATCCTGAGTAACTAAGGTTATAGGTATGAGCCCCAGTGCCTGGTTCAAAAATGTTAATACTCATTTTACAAATGAGAAAATTGAGATTTAAGACAGCTAATAAATTATTATTTTCAAAGTCTTATATATGGCTTCTTACAAAATCAAAAGGGCGGGCTGGGAAGGTGGCTCAGTGGTAGAGTGCTTGCCTCACATGCGTGAAGCCCTGGGTTTGATTCCTCAGCACCACAGAAGTGGTAGAAATGGCGTGGTGGCTCTATGGTAGAGTGCTAGCTTTGAGCTGAAGAGCTCAGAGACAGCGCCCAGTCCTAGAGTTCAAGTCCCACGACCAACAAAAAAAAAAAAAAGGGAATCCAAATCTATTTACTTCCAATCTATTATACAATTCTGTCTCTTAAGTGATCCTCTGATATTCATGTCTCAAATATCTGTTTAGGACATTTTTCATTCATTGTATTCATTGAATTTTGTTTTTTCTTTGAAGATAAGTAATTATTTAGAATGTAGTTTAGACTGGGAGATGAACTACTTTTTTTTTTTTACTAAAATTATATTCTTTAGTTATTTTTAAAGTTTGTGAAATTTATACAAATTTAAGAATAAGAATAAGGCTCGTTTATTAGATTTATTCTCTTTATAGGGTTTGGATTTAAAGCCCTTTATTTTTCACAGTCTGGAAAGGCTTTTAAGCTATAGAGTTTAATACTCCTTAAATCTCACATTAAGGTTTTAAACATAAAATTTAAGTTAATTCAGTTCTTATGATGTCTACTGATTTATCAGAGACCTCATAAGACTTGAGATATGTTACCTATGTTGAAAAAGGACAAGTGAGCAGTAGCTTTAGGTCTTTGGAGTTTCGGTATAGACTAAGTCATCTGTTATGATATCTTGGGATTTAGGATGGATAGGGGAAAATTGGTTGTTCATAAGAAATTCAATGCCTGTCTCATAGTAGTAATTATTTGTTGAAAGTGGACATGAATAAACGAAAGTCTTCCCATCAGTTTCAGGCATTAATTTGTTCTTTTTCTTAGCGTTTAGCCTCTGTGGGATTGGATGCCAAAAACACAGTCTGCATTTGGGACTGGAGGAAGGGAAAACTACTGGCCTCAGCCACTGGCCATTCTGACCGGGTAAGATTTTTGTTGGATCACACTATGTAGGTTACAGAACTGTGGAATAATTATGATTTTCATATTTTTAAAAGTAAATTATCCATTTATCAATATTCCCTACATATTCAGCTTGTAAATGTACTATTTTCTTTTATTCATGAGTGATGGCAAACTGTGTTAGCACGATTGCTTCTAGTGAGCAAGTACTTTGAGTTGCTATTGCTTTTCACAGTCCATAAAAATCTTTGATGTTAATATTTGGATTCTTCATAAAATCAAACTGGAATTGAATTTGAAATATGTACAATTTAGAGGTATTCAGTTAGATCTGGAAATGGTTTTAGAAAATACAAGGACACATATTTTAATTTCAGATGAACATAATGACAACTTTGTGATTCTTTATTATATTTGAAAATGTTGAGTGCAAATTGTGGCCTGATTATTCATATTGAGCTCCATGTGATCATAAGTGACAATTACACGTAGTTATAGCATGAAAGATAAGGGATTATACATATAACTAGTCATAAAATTATTTTTCCCTTGTTTGCATAATTGAGTAATTCGATTTCTTTATTGCCCTGTTTTCTAGTTTAAAAGTGAGTTTGCATGACTATCTTACCTGGAATTTCTTCTAGTGGTTCTGTATTTCTGTGCAATTTAATTGTCTACAGAGAATGAAACTTTCACTAAACATTAAATTTATTACTTCTAGAGCGACATGAACTCTGAAACATGTTTATAAGAATGGCACATACATACGGCAATTTGCAGATAAAGAAACCTCAGAGTTAATGTGACATCCTCTCCAGGATCAAGCCTTCAGATCCTGAAGGGGTGTGGATCACTCCAGGAGTACCAACCACAGAACTTAAGTGTTAGAAAAGGACTGTCCTCTCTCCTTCCCAATGATTCCCAGCTCTAGATGCACATAGACTCCCCCATGGAGATATTACAACCTAATGACATTAGTTCTCTATCTTCAAGGATTTGAACTTATTTGGTACCAACTTAGTCAACATTTCCATCACTATGACAAAATAGCAGAAGTGAAGGAAAGATTTATTTTGGCTTACTGTTTCAAATGTTTCAGTCCATGGCCACATGGCCACATGTTTCTGGATCTGTGATGAGCCAATACATTCATGAAGGAAGCACATGGCTTACCTCATAGTGGTCAGGAAGTAGAGAAAGACAGAACAAGGGATCAGGGACAAGACAGAGCTCCTTACACACAATGATCCACTTCCTTCCATCAGGTCCTACTCCTAATAGCCCATTCAGCTCTGAACTCATCCATGGATAATTGAGGTTAGTGCCCCTGTGGTCCGGTCACCCCCTCAGTAGCACCACTTGCTGGGGACCAAATCTTCAACACATGCAGGAAGACAACTTCAACACATGAAATGTGTACCATAAATGCACTTAATAAAATATGTATATTGAAAATATTTTTTGTGTGTGTGTTCACACGCGTGTGTGCGTGTGTGCGTGGCCATACACCAGTACTGGGACTTGAACTCAGGGTCTGGGCACTGACCCTTAACGTTTTTGCTCAAGGCAGTTGCTCTACCATTCCAGCTTTTGGTGATTAATTGGAGATAAGAAACTTAAGGATTGCTGGATGCTGGTGGCTCATGCCTGTAATCCTAGCTACTCAGGAGGTTGAGATCAGAGGATTGCAGTTCAAAGCCACCCCAGGCAGGGAAGTCCATAAGACATTTATCTCCAATTAACCACCAGAAAACTGGAAGTGGCACTGTGGCCCAAGTGGTAGAGCCCTCGCCTTGAGCTCAAGAGCTCCAGGACAGCATTCAGGCCCAGAGTTCAAGCCCCACAACTGACCCAAAAAAAAAAAATCTTCAGGACTTTCTTGCTCAAGCTGGCTTTGAACAAAGATCCTCAGATGTCATTCTCCTATGTAGCTAGGATTACAGGCTCATCTCTACTGCTGACTTGAAAATATTTCTGATACTTAAGTTTTGGCTGTTACTCTGTTTTTGCTTATGCTGTGGTACAGTCATATGAATCTTGTAAAGAAAGTTAAGTTAGACTATCAATATATGAATTTTCAGCTATCACAAAGAGTGGACTTGGGCTGGGAAGGTGGCTCAGTGGTAGAGCGCTTGCCTTGCATGCCTGAGGCCCTGGGTTCTATTCCTCAGCACCACATAAGCAAAAAGAAAAAAGCCGGAAGTGGTGCTGTGGCTCAAGTGGTAGAGCGCTAGCCTTGAGCTGAAGAG